GTATGTAATATGGTTATTATATATTTACTTTTTGAGGAACAACCAAACATTTCATTTGTATAGTTTTAAAAAACACAGAACACTTTTATATATCATTTATCTATATATCTATCATCTATCTAGATACATGTCTATTTTCATGGGTATACTGGAAGAACACTCACAGAGATTATTTTGGTGAGGATATGGGATGAACATGAGGAAAGAGGAAAACTAGGTTAGAAGTGGTCACAGGAGGAAACACTAGTTTTTATCTGTAATGTTTCCTTTCATTTTTTAGAAGGGCCACATATACATCATTTGCAAAAGTAAATTTGGAAAAGGAGGCAAAGTCAACAAAATATAAAGAATTGTCAATTTGATAGAAGGAATATCCATGTTATATTATTCTTGGTTGCTTTATGTTTTTAATTAGAAAGAGACAATTTTTTCAAAAAAGTACATGTCACTTGATTCTCATATCAAAATTGATGAAGGAGATAGGACCATGCTATTATCCTCATTGTACAAGGCAGACTTCTGAGACAGAGCAGTGGCCCAGGACCGGAGAGCTCATAGACGGCCTGGAAGAGACAGAGGCTGAGGACATGAGCACCGCTGAGGGTGTGAGCTCTCTGGTGCTGTGTACCACAAACCCTAAAATGATCTACCTAACTTCCCCCCATTTTTAGTGGCATGAGGACATTTCTGTTTTGAAGGCCACTGCTTTTGTGAGGAGACATGGAGGAAGACAGGATAAAGTTCATTAAAGCAGGAGGACAGAGTGATAAGAGGGAGGCAGAGGACAAGATAATAACTAAGAACAGTGGGTAGGAAATGAGGGAAGTGGAGGGAAGGAAGGATTCTGAGGTAAGACAGATCAGAGACAGAGCTTCAAAGGGCCATTTGTAGCAGACCATTTGTGCAGTGTGGGAGGTGAGATGGATTTTTCCCTGTCTTGATTTCCTACCAGCACCCCTGCCCCCTTCCCTGTTTCCACCATTTCCGTGCTAACTGACTGAGTGGGGAGGTACGTGTGATGTGTGTACTGCAGGTAAGGAAAATGAAGGAGATGGGGAGCCTGGAAAGAATGTGAGATGTGCGATAAAAAGCCAGTTAAGAACAAATTGTCCTCTCTCTGAAGACAGATCAACTGCTGGCTGACAGATGATTCACTAGAGGCTTTATCAGTATTCATCTTCCAGACACTAATAAAATTAGTAAAAATGTCCAATTCCTTAATAAAATTGTTTTTCTCATTCCCTTGCCCTGGAAAAGAATGAGTCTTAAATAGGTTCATAACTAATTTGTGCATTATAATTAAGTCTGTTTCCTTTCTAATATCTTTAAGTTGCTAGTCTGGGAGAGATGAAAAGACTCAGAGCCGAAAACAAAGAACTCTTCGCTTGCAAAGGTGTTCACTTTGAGCCGAGGGAACTGCAATCCACGGAGGAAAAGGAAAGTTAACAAGTTCCACGTACACAAATTTATTTTCCTCAAGCCCAGAGTTGAATGCATTTCTTTACCCAAATTTCTTCCTTTGCCAAAAGCAGTCTACCCCCAAAATATTTCTCAGAATTATGTTGGTATTTCTTGAGAAAAGTCCAAGATCAAAAGTCAAAGAAATGTTGAGCTAAACAAAATTTCTTAATGAAGAACTTTGAAAAAGTAATCTGAAGCATTCATCTTCAAGGTTGAGGCATCACTGAAACTTATTTAACCAAGATATTCCCTTTCCCTTATCCCTCCCCATCTCCCCCCAAATCTGTAACTTCATGGAATTAGAATTCTATGAAACATAATTTTGGAAAGTTTGACCTGCCCTGTGAAGAGCCTGGGGGTTGGAATCACCCGAGTGTAACTCCCTGTCTTACCACTTACTAGTTGAGTGATGTTAAGCAAACAACTTACATTCTCTTGTCTGTTTGCTTACTGATAAAATGGGGTAATACAATTCTCAGGGTTATTGTAAAGATTAATTGAGATAATTTATGTAAGTTTTTGGTGCATAGTGAGCACTCAGTAGATAGCAGCTGTTCTGTCATTATTATACCAGGATTTGGGCCTTAACTTGATTTTTCAGTCTTATAAAGAATCCAGGCACCAAAGAGTGGAGGATCTTAGTAACCATCAGAAGTTAATGGGAGTAATGGAACGGTTTTAAATAGGAATAAATGAATGACTTCTGCCCTTACTAGGGCAGCTGCTAATATTCTGAGGCTCATAAAGCCTTGTGCTTGTCTTAATACATATAAATGCTTTATTACTTGAGTTCCTGCCTGAAAGATTTTTTCTCAACAATGTCTTCATCCTTTCCCTCACTGGAAGCTTGCAATAATCTTTTCTTGTAAACACTATAGCCTTTTTTCTATATCTTTCTTTAGCACTTACACTTGCTACTACAAATCAGTTATTTATCTGTTACTGTATTTATTTCCCCAAGTAGCATCGTTTAAAGGGCAGGGTCCACATCTTGCTCCATCCTTGCAAACGTAACATAGTGATTTGTAGTATTCATATATACTCATCAAGTGAAAAACATGCTTATCCCTTCTAGTTCACAAAGTGGTTTATTTTAATCACATCACTGTAGTTAAATATAGGAAGAGTTGATTTTCTCCCAAGTTAGAAGGAAATCTCCAAGTTTTGCTCTTTTTCCAAAAAAGCATATGCTGCCCTCCTGTGTTTGACACAAATATTACTTTATACCAGAACAAAACAGAGTGACTGGCTCAATTAAATTTAGTTGGACAGCATTTTGTTTATCTTCAGATCCTTAAATGGATTTTTTTCCCTACACAAATTATTATCCTTCCCATTAAAATTACCTTTATTCAATATATTTGAATACATTTTTTACTTAAGATTACATACGAACTTTCATGTTGGTCTGATATTCCTTCAGTATAATCTACTACATTTTTACTATTTCCATTTTACATCAACAACTAACTTCAAAATATTTTAATATGATTTGTATACACTCAGCCTGCTTGGGCAACAGCATATTTAAGGCTTTGTATTTTGGAACTAGTTTCAAATCCTGGTTCAAAGTCACAGAGTTATTGTGTGGCCTTGGGCAAGTTATTTTTCTGAACCTGTTCCATCTGTATAACAAAAATCATAACCTCCCAAAGATAATGTAAAATAAAACCCTTAGACACCATAGAAGCTATCAATAGGGTAGCCATTATTACTATTCAGGAATCGCATTTTCAAATCTCTTAGGTATTACCTATTTTGGTGAAGTTGAAGGCTGCCTAAGAACATGAATTAGAATGGGCCCCACATATGATCTGGATTAAGTTCTTTCCATATTCAACAGTCAACATTTATTCAACATTTGTGATGTGCCAGGCACTGTTCTTGAGACAGGCAGTTGAAATATAAACAGATCAAAATCCTTGTCCTTATGAAATCCAACAATATAAATCCTAGCTAGTTTATGGAGGTTACTCTGAGTCACTAACTTTCTTTCACATTCTTGCAGTTCTTATTCTCCAAGTACATATTTGATTCTTTATATAAGCTATCCTGTACTTCATATCCAGTCCCTTCCTCTATCTACAATGCAGATGTAATGTCTCTTGGTCTACTGCCACAGTCTCCTATTAGGGACAGAGGCTCACTCTCACACTCTTTGTATACCTTTATCAAAATTTTGTAAGGATGGAATTTATAGCCTGACTCTCCTACTCTTTAAAGTAAGGGGGGAAAAAAAGCATTAGTGTTGATACTTTCATTTAATTGCTGACAGTTACAATCTATTCTGTTACCTTACCTCACTCCATTCTCAACACAGCAACTAAAGGGATCCTCTGATATAGCAGCTTGTTTTCCTTGAAGTGATGGCCCATTTCATTGATTTTTTGAGAAAATACCTGCCAAGCAGTCAAGTCTAAATAACTATAGTTTAATCTACTATCAGCCTGTCAGTTTTTTTCCAAGTAAAAATGGTGGGAAAGGAATTTTAGGGAATCTGTGGCATCGATACTATTTTCATAGTAATACTAAGATTTTATTTGCAGTTTTCAGTGTTAACATTTGTCCAGATGGCACAAAAGCAGTAGTGAGTAAACTAGCACTGAACATGAATCAAGGCAGTGGCACCAAAGTACTAGGATTCTTTGTATGTTCCACAGCCATGTATCTCAAAAAACAAAAAAACAAACAAAACCACAAAAATTCAGTTTCACTTAAAAATATCCTTGATGAAGCAGCAAAAAGTACTAATTTTATGAACTGTTAGTCCTTGATGACACATCTTTTTAAGTATTTCATGTAACAACATTGGGTGTGTGCATAAAGCATTTCTGCTGCCACCTAAGTGCACTGGGTTTCTCAAGGGAAAGCACTCATCATTTGAGTTGCAAACTGAACCGGCTGCTTTGTTTTTGTCTTAAGGAACACCATTTTTACTTGAAAGACTGACAAACTATAGTTATTCAGAATCAGGTATTAGGCAGACATTTTCTTGAAAATGAACCAAGTGGATCTATCACTTCAAGGAAAATAACAGACAGTACTTGCCACCAAGATGAAACTTAAGCTATTAAGCAAAAACTTAAGATTGTGAAAACTAGTACCATTACTGTGAATTTCCCAGCTTCCCAATACTATAAGATGCTCCTGATGAGCTCAGTGGTAGTAGTAATGACTGTGACTTTTTGATATGTATAATGAAATGTGTCAGCATTAAAGGGCCTGTATAACGTATGACATTACAAAATCACATAGGGATAAAAGATTCGATCAAAGTTCAAGACAGTTGAATGAATCTTAATGTCATAGAAAATGAAAAGTTTACTGATCAGATTCCATGTTATAACTAACTTTTAACAAATTACAACTTGGGTTGTGCTAAAGTATCAAGGAATATCCACAATTATTTGAAAAGGCTATTCAAATAGTCCTCCTTTCCCATGTATTTATGTGAAATGGACTTTTTCAAATTTCAAATCCCAATAGTCCAAATACAGAGGTGGATAAGAGAATCCAGCTGTCTTCTTTTACATACATACATATATATGGAAAGCTTCACGAATTTGCATGTCATCCTTGCGCAGAAGCCATGCTTACATTCTCTGTATTGTTCCAATTGGTGTATGTGCTGCCAAAGCAAAAAAAAATTTTTAAAGCCTTTCTTTTCCCTACTATGTTTTGGAAAACAGCTATTTTTCTTTAAATAAAAAGTTTGTTCTAAGGCGTATGGTTTAATATTGTTATTTTAAGACAAATTACTAAATATTTAAAATTTTTCAGTTCTAATTTCTAATTTGGTAAACATCAACAGCTGTAACCCTCATAAAGGCTGTGTGGAGTCTTCAAGAATTCCTAACAATAATGGCATTCCAGGGCCAAACTATTTGAAAACCATTGATCTAAAATATGTCAGATCACATCACTTAATTATCTCACAATGGCTCCCATTTCCCTCAGAAATTAAGTTCTTACACTGGCCTGCTGGATCCATTCTTTTCTGTTCTCCTTCCATTACCTATCCCTCTGCTCTTCGTCTTGTTCACTCCCTCCAGCCATACTTGCTTCTGCTGTTCCTCCAATAAGCCAGACACAATCCCAGCATTAGGACCATTGCATTGGCAGTTATCTATGCCTGGTAAGCAACTCCCCCAGTTTTCTGCATGACTATCTCCCTCATTTCCCTAAAGTCTTAGCTGAAATGTCACCATCTCAATAGTCTTAACATGAGAATTCTGTTTGAAAATGCAGTCCTACCACTACTCCCATTCTCCACAGCATCTTCTAACATTTGCTTACTTATGTCTACGATTTGTGTGGCTTCCCCTCCCTCCACCAGTATTAAGCCTCAAGAGTGTGGAAAAATGCCCGCCACACTGAGCCCAACAAGTATTTGTTAAATGTTGAAAGAACTCGTTTGACAGTTTGTCATTTCTCAAGAAATGTCAATAAAATTCCAAGAAAAAGAGACGATGCAATTACAAAGGCACGAGAGGGCAATGCCAACAAAGATTTTCTGAGTGGGAGAAAAAGGAGGTGGGCTACAAAGAACACAAACCTCAATACTGAAGGCGTTATGTATCTGAAAAAAGCCTTGGGAGAAGTCGGGATTGGGAATATTATAAAGGTTATGCAGGGAGGATTTAAGTGTCTGGGGCAATGAACGCTGGCCCAGCCTTTGTGTAGCCGACAAACCCCTCCCTGGCCGCCCCCACCCCCTCCACAACCCCCGCCTCCTATAAAATCATAGTCCTCAGAGCTCTCCCTGGATCCCGTCATCCGAACACAAGTAGTCCACACCAAGAGAATGAAACATTTCTAAACTTTATGGAAAAAGCAGCAACGACAAACAACTAGCCAAAAACGGGCCTCCAACTCCAGTCTCCCTCCAGTGCCGTCTTCCCGAACGCTCGCTGGCTTTGGGACCTCTGCACCGTCACAGTTCTTAGATGTCCCGACGGGATTCCAACGCTGTGTTCCGAAGGCTCCATAGGAAGGCAGGTCTGGCGGGTTCCCCACACGCCCCCAGGGAACCACATCTGAACAGAGAAAGAACGAGAAGCAAGAGCCCTGGTAAATCAGTCCACTTGGGGCAGGAACGCGCGGGAAGGACGACAAACGCGAAGAACTCAGGGAGAGGTGTTTCCGCACGGCGGTGACGAAAAACCGGAACTCAGTTCTCCTCCGGCTTGTCGGCAGGAGGCCCGCAAGGCTGCAGCATCTTCTCCATCAAATTGAAGCGAACTCGCGCTTTGCTCTCGTTCTCCGCAATGGCGAAGTAGTTGAGAAGGTCGAAGTGGCCCATGTAGGAGCAGTAGGAGTCGCGGTGCTGGTTCACCAGCCACTCCCACTTGGTGGTGTCGGCGTGGCCGGTGCCGATGTACTTGGACTGCAGGTGCTCCAGTTGGCTGTGGATGGTGTAGCGGTCCGTCATCTCGCCGCCTTCCTCTTTGCTCACAGGCCGCAGACCACGAGGAGCTGCTCTAGTTTCACGCCGCACAGACCCCACCACAGTCCCAGGCTAGTCCTTTCGGAACCTCGACAGCCCCCGCAGGCGCAGGCGAATAGCGTCACAGCGAAGACCCTGCGCGGACTCGCGGTCGTAGGGCTCAGAGGGGGAAGCGGAAGTGTATTCTGTCACGGAATTGGAGTTGCCTAGGCGACGCCATAAATTGGCCGTCCCTTGTAGAGCCCCGCCCACTTCATAGAGCGTTGCATGATGGTTCATTTAGTGACGCTTTTTTCTGCCGGGGAGCTTTGCATGCTGGGCCTTGTGGTCTCTGAGGGTTCATGCGCGCAGGCTGCTGGGACCTCTCGTTGCGGTCTGAGGCGGTGGACGGCCGATGAAAGTCGCTGTTTGGGAGGAGTGGATCGTATCTGAGCGGTTTGGCACTGAAAAGAAATGGGAAACAAGTAGGACGCGGCTGCCGGCACCGGGGAAAATGAACTCAGTATAATTCTGATTTCGCGGCTAACGGCGCGGCACATGGCAGCCCCTTCACAACCAGGGTTAGATAACCCTGAAGGTCAGAAATGCGAGTTCTGGCCCCAGCTATGCCTCTTACAAGTTGCGCGGAGTCAGTTATTTCTACGCCTGCAGAGCCGTTCCCTGCCTAGTGACCGAGCTACGGTACCAGTCCGACAGGTTCCGGGCGCCACACGGAGTCCCTTGTTCCTTTCCAGCCTCTTTGACGCCCTCCCTGCCAGTCCTCACCCGACCCTGCACGCCCCAGCCCACACTTTTCAGCCCTCCGTGCTGCTCGCCCGTCCAGTCTTCGTACTAGCTGCTCACTGTGGAATGCTTTTGTTCATTGGCAAACACTTCTCTCTGCAAGTCAGCTCACAAGCATCTCCCTGCAGTCGGCTTTGGTTATTCCTTCCCTTTTTCATCTCTTTGTTATGATCGCTTTTACCCTAATTTTTGGTTTAAGAACTAAAACAAACTGCCTGAGAAAGTGGTTACTCTTTAAAAAGTACCGTCTATTGTATGCTTTTTAAAAAATATCTTTTTATGATATCCTGACAGAAATTGTACTCTTAAAAAACATTTGATGGACTGAACAACTGTATGATGGCCAAATAGAAGGAACTCTTTTATTGGGAGAAAGATAACTTTAAACTGGTACAAAGTTGCAGTTATGTAGGAATAATAAGTCTACAGATCTAATTAATGTACAGCATGATGATTATAGTCAATACAGTATTGAATACTGGGAATTGGTTCAGAGTAGATTTTAGATGCTCTCACCACACACACACACACACACACAAAGGTAACTGTGAGGAAATTACTTGTTGATAAGCTTGACTAGTAATCATTTCACTATGTATGTGTATATGAAATCATGTTCACACACAGTAAACATACACAATGTTTATTTCTAAAGAAAACTACAAAAATATGGGATCAAATACCTGTACCAAAAATGAAAGAAAAAGTCTTATTCTTCAGTTTAAGCTTTGTTGTAATAAACATTTCATTTCTAAAATGTAGGAACATACCTGTCGATTCACCATCCAGATATATCAAATCTTGCCATTTTGCCATTTTGTATCCAGCTTTTTATTTTGTTTTTTTAAATAAATAAAACTATACAAATAAACTAAGTTCTCTGTGTTCTTTTCCCTAATCTGTTCATTTCAGGATATTTTCTTGAATTTAGAGTTAATCATTTTTGAGCCTGTTGTTTCCTGAAAGTTTGTATGTCAAGGAACAATAGGTGTTACTGTTACGCATGTTTTAAAACTTTATGTAAATGACACCCTGTATGTCTTGTTAGGAAAGTTGTTTTTTCCCCTTATTGGGAAAATATGTACCTTTAGTTCATTTTTGCTGGTGTGTAGTATGCTACTGAATTAATATACTCTTAACATGTCCATTCTCTCAATAATGGACATTTATTTTCACATTTTTGCTATAAAACAATGCTGTAATGAATATTTTTGTACATACATTCTTATACATGTGGATGTTAGGGCATATATATAGGACTATAGTTGTTGCTTCAAGCTTTGCTAGATACTGTGAAATTGCTCTCCAAAGTTGTTACATCAGTAGGTTCTGTCACCAAGAGAATGAGAATTCTTTTTGATTCACATCCTTCCCAAAACTTCGTGTCGTCATTAAAAAATTTTTCAAATCTGATAGGTGGAATGGGGCTTTATTGTGCTTTTGATGTTCAATCCCTGCTTACTAGGGAGATTGGGCATGTTTTTTATGAGTTTATTGGCCTGCTACATTTCTGCTGTGAATCGCATATTCATATCCTTTGCCCATTTTCTTACTGGGATGTTTGTCTTTCTCTTACAAATTTTTTTAGGGGATCTTCATATATTCAGAAAAGCAGGCTTGCCAGTTAAGTACAGTGAAAATATTTTTTTTCCACTCTGTGCCTCATCTTTACCTTTTTTTTAATGGTATCTTTTCTTACTCAGAAGTTAAATTTAAAGTAGTCAAATGTATCAGCTTTTATGATTTATGCTTTTTGCATTTGGTTTAAAAAATGAAATCAAGCAAAACTCTTCTACCCCAGAGTAAAAAAAAAAATAGTTTTCTTCATTTTTCCTATAAGTTTTAGGATTTTAGTTTTAATATTTATTTTTTAACACAGCTGGAAGTTTTCTTTTGTTATATTTTACTTTAGGGGTATATTTAAAAAATATTTTTCTATATGGCTAACTAATTCCAAGTGATAACCATCATTCATTAAACAGTACATCTTTTCTCTATTCAATATTAGTGCGTCTATGTTTTAGGCATAAGTCTGTTTTAGGCATAAGTCATTAGTCATGTCTATACCTGCACCAGTAACATCAGATTTTCATTACTGTACTTTTATCATAAGTCTTAATATGTGACAGGGTGAATGCCTGTACAGTTTCCTTCTATCATAAATGTCTTAGCTTATTCATGATTCTTTGCTCTTCCATATGAATTTAGGATTGTCAGGAAAATCTTCATGGAAATTGTAATTGTGTAGTCAAACAAAGCCATGAAAATATTATTTCCATATCATTAAAAATGATTCTCAGGATATGAGAGAATTCCTCAAATTCAAAGGCCCTTTAAAGCTAGAAAAGACATTTATATTTATTAATTAAGAGCCACCATGTATTAGTTAATTAAGAGCCACCATGTATTAGTTTGCTAGGGCTGCCAAAACGAAAGTACCACAGATGGGTGGCTTAAACAATAGACATTTACTTCCTCACAGGTCTGGAGACTAGAAATCCAAGATCAAGGTGATGGTGGTTTCATTCTGAGGCCTCTCTCCTTGGCCTCATGGCCATCTATGTCTTCAGTGGTTTTTCTGTCTTTATGTGTCTAATTTCCTCTTATAAAGACACCAGTCACATTAGGGTCCACTCATATGACCTCATTTTATGTTAAAATGCAGTCATATTCTGAGTTACTGGGGGTTAGAACCTCATAAGTTTGGAGTGTATGGGGGGGTGCGGGTAGGGGGAGAGGATTCACAATTCAGCCATAATGGTTTCATACAGCAATGTGGAATACATAAGAGAATTTGTTTCTTTTTACATATATGTAAATTTATTTAATTTGTGAAAATAAGCATTGAAAAGGTTTTATTGAGTCAATTGCAATACTTATGAGGAAAATGAAATGTATTACATTAATAGTGATTGTGATAATTTGTTAGGCTAATAAACAGTTTACAATTTTTATCTGAGCTCAAAAGCTTAAGGGAAAAGGCAGTTTCCCAATTTATAACTTTAATAAATTGAGAATTAACTTTTAAAGTCTAAATAAAATGTGAACAGTATTCTGAACATTTCTCCAAATGACCCTCAAAGGCATAAAACAAAACAAAACAAAATAAAAAATCCCTCCATTTAACAAGATCAGTTTGCAAAAACACAAAAACCCTGCTGAAATTTTAATTGCAATTTCACTGAATCTATAGATTTACTTGGGGAGAATTCTTAACTATATTGGGTTTTCTAATCTGTGCACATAATAAATATTACCATTTATTTAAGTCTACTTTTTTTTTTACTTTAAATAAAACTTGTATAATTTTCTCCATACCAGCTTATCAAATCTGTTAGATTTATTCCTAGGTTATCTCCTATTTATGCTTAAAGATGTTCCTTATGAGTCTTAAATTGTGACTAGCACACAATATCACATTTTCTTACACTTATTGCCAATAAGGAATCCTCATTTAGGACCAGTTACCCTGTTGGCAAGACATACCAGGAAAGCTATTATTATTTCCTTTCCAAGATTCTACCTCAAGCCAATGCTGCCTGTTGGGTTGCTTCTGTGAAACTAGTAAATGCTGTCTTAGAATTTTGCATTCACATAAGAAAAATATGCAAGAAAAGATGCCATTGGAAAGGATAAAGAATTATTAATGTATAAGGGAAAGAAAAAATACATATATTTAGAAAAGTATAGTCTATTGTTTAAGTCTGGAAATGCAAGGTAACATTTTCTTTTTAGTAGTGTTCTTGGTCTTGTGTGTAGCTTTACAGTTTGTAAAAGCCATTTCGTATTTTGAATAGTCAAGGCATCATTAAAAAATAAAAGGTATAAAAAGGAATGAAGTTTACAATATCTGCCCATTTCCCATCTTCATCCTCAATAAGTAATCATTGCTATGTGTATCTTCTGTAATCTTTCAGAGACTTTTTTGGTGGATGTAAAAATAAATGCAAATATATGTGATATTTTACCCCTTTCTACATTTAGATGGTAGCCATGCTCACCATAGTTTTCTACTTTGATTTTTTGTTTTGTGTTTTATTTTCTTCGACATATCTTGGAGACCATCCAGTATGAGTATATTAAGCACTTCCTCATTTTTTTGTCTTGTTTTACAGCTGCCTTACATTTAATGGTATGGATGTATCACACTCTAAATAACCACCTCCTCATTGACTCAAATGTCTTGTGTATCCAAACATCATGTTTAAATTCTATTAGTAGTGAAGAAAAATATTAACTTCAAATTGAAATTAATTAAAGTCATATTTCCTTTGGTGAAACATTCTTTTAGATACTATTTTTGTCTGTAAGCAAGTTTTGAAGTATTAAAAGGATTTTCAATATGTACAGGTGTTGATACCATCTCTCCTGCTAGGTGTCGCCAAAACAGTATTTAACGCCAACAAATACACCAGTGGTTGAGAACATTTTATGTTTAGGCCCCTTTAGTTTTTCAACCACAGTAAGTGGGAAAGGTACCTTGCGACTGAGATGTTGAAGGCAAAACTTTGGTTTGCTCTATTTCTTAAGGCAACTAAGACTTTGATAATTCAGGATGAAAGCAAGCAAGCTTTCCCTATTGTCATACAAACTCTATCTGGGGATTTTATATACTTAGTTGGATTAAGTAGTGATGTGGAATTTAAGTGATAAGGAATTT